CACTGCAAAAAGCCAGCTTGAACATTTTAGGCAAAACCATCCAAATGAATGGCTGGCTTTATTTAGATTGTTTGTATCAAACAAATTGTTAACAAGTAGATGACTGAAGGTGACCAAGGTTCCTTGAATAATAACCACATTTCCCAGTAATTTAACTGCCTATTCTCTAATTTCCCTAACCTAACCCCAGTAGATAACAAGTAGCACTTGAGAATAAGAGTGTATACCAGGTGAGAAAGATATTCTTTAACTGGGCTCTACAGAGTTTATAAATAGGCTTTATTATATGCAGAAAATTGATCAAATTGATCCATATGTTCAAATAATACTATTTATGCATGGAGAATTATCTATGAAATAACACACTAAATTTGCAAGTGTGGCTAATTTAGATAATATGACAGGAGAAAGAACTTCAGTTTTAATTCATTCTAATCCTTTGAAATGAGGATATATTTGTTAATTACTTGCATAGTTAAAATTAATTTAAAACTAGGTATACATTGTAATTTTTTCTTAGGATGGGATAGTGTTTTTATAAATATTTTGACTCTGACAAATAACGATATATTATCTGGTCAGAGACATACTAGCTTCAAATTTTTTACATTTGAAGTAACTGAGGGATTTCTTTCACTTGATTGTTTCATTTTGCTTTGGGCTGATTTAAATATTAAAAATTAGACTCTGGAGCAGCTATAATTCATATATAGCACATCATTTGTATTGCTATGGTGTGGATCAAAATGTACAGTGGGTGAATTTTATCACAATCTTAAAATTGGTTGAGTTGTTGCCATGGTGAATCAGGTGTCCACACAACAGGTATGTGCCTTGATTATGTTATACATTCCACTCACCTAAATTATCAGATTTATTAAGCAGATAAAGTTATGATGCACAAAGCAAGTATGCTCCAGAAAAAAATAATCAATAAAAAGTACTCAAACTTTATATGACTTAAATAAAACATTTTGAATATTATAAAAGACTATATTTATATGTGGGGTGAACAGGGTTTAGAAAGTTCTTTTAATATATTATACCTAGTTTATAGAATGATTGTCAGATATACAAAATGGAATATACCATGGGATATATCAACTGCAACTCAGAATCTTGACAGGTTGTTCTGGGCATGGCCCTCTGAATCTCTAGATTTCCAATGGTCAACCTAGAGCAATAAAATAAAATTCTCTTGGACCCATGAATCTCTGTCCTAGTAAGTACAGTCCGTTCCCATTATAGCTAATGCACTGGAGACTGAGAAAAGTACCTATCACACAGCAACTCAGAAACATAGCCTTATCTATTTAATGCCTGGCTAATACATCTTACACATCAATTATATTTCATATGGCAACGTCTTTTCCAAAGCAGTTTACTCAACGGTTCATTCATTATATCTTCTTTTATACATTTAATGAGGTGACTATATATATCGGCTAAAAAAAGAATAAAAAAGAAGCAACATACTATAAAGACATTTATAACTTTCTTTCTCTAAGTCTAAATGATTTTCCCCCTTCTAAATACCCACATCTTTTAAACTGATCGCAAACGCACCCTTTGCCTGATTATAAAATAGCGACTGAAAATAGTCTGTATAAGTATCAATTTCATTGATTTTACTAGTAACTCCTTTATCTTGGTACTATTTTATTTTTAAGCCATCTTTTAGTTATATATTTAACATTTTAGGGGCATATAATCAAAATAGGTATCCAAATTCTTAGTGCATTTGACCTAGACAAAAAGCTTATGATGTTGGGTTCTCTGCTAGTAAGAAGCAATCTTTTCCTACTACAGTTTTTGTTTTCATTGACTTCTAAAATTTAAGTCAGAAGTCTTGTAATAATGATGTTAATGTGTGGGGGGAAAAACTTCATGGCACCAATCAAAAAACAAATTCTGATTATAGACTATGGTTATCCTGAGAGGTTAATATAAAATATCATTCTGTGTTCATAAATAATACAGACTTTTCATTCATAAAATACCAGAGAGATTCATAAGTTTCTGTCTAGTTTTCCTTTGCCTCTCCCTGGAGTCTTTTTAGAAAGTAAGAATTGCTATCATTAATTTTTTAAACTATTGAGAAATAAATCCATTGCCTTGAACTGGCAAACAACCTCCCATGATCTGGCCCCAATCACTCTTCCCAGCCTTCTCTCTGCCTCACAAACCTCCACCCCAGAACACTACTGGAGCTTGTCCCTCCTGGGACATAACCCACCTGGTCCCAGGTTTTTGCCTTCATTCATGCTGCCTGAGAGGTTTTCCCTCCTCATGCTCTTCTCTGCCGGTCTGTGCACCCAGGATTAGCTGCTCACATTTATTCAGTGCTTACTCCATGCTGTGCTTTTTTACTAAAAGCCTTATTTCATTTGTGCCTTCTCACAACGCAGTTTTACAATGTATGATGAAACTCTGGCTAGTCAACCAGGTAGTAAATGGCAGCTCTGGGATCTGTACCCATGTAGACTCCAGATTTCACACTGTGCTACATTACTCAGCACAGTGATACAGTAATTCCCAGTACACTTGTAAGATCAAGAGAAAAATAATCATTCTCCCATGGATGTTTCATTGGCCATCCCCACCACTCTTCCCTTTACCTGCCCCTGTATCTCTCTGAAGCCAAACTCTAATGTGTCACTGATAAAGATGTATCTATCCATCATGTTTCCTTTACTAGGCATTCTGATTCATCTCAAGAGTCTTTGAGTTATATAGTAAAATGCTTTACAAACGGCAATCCCTCTGTAAATGTTGGTTATATGAATTCATCATTGGCAGAATGAAGAGATAATGCAGAGTGTATCAGAAATGACCTCTGCAAAATGATTTTAAAAATCTATTTATCAAGCCTATCATTTGATAAACAATGATCACAACTTGCTATTGATTCTTTCACAAATTTGCTTTTTTAATTTGAGTTCATAAAAGTGACCAACTGGGCATTCTAGTTTCAAATCCATTCATTCAATCACATGTAGTTTTTTTTTTTTTAATTTTCTACTGAGTCAAACTGTTCTAGGATCGTAGGTGAATTTTGGCTACTCTAAAGAACCAGTTAAACATGGAAATAGTTCTTTATGATAATGACTATATATATATATATATATATATATATATATATATATATATATATATATATATAACTATTTTATTTGCTTTTCTCTAATTTGATTCAAATTTTCATTTTCTGTATATACACATATATCAACTCATCTAGATAATAGTAAGTAGTTTGGGAAAAGGGATACAAATAATTTAATTATTTTTCTTATGTGATGTCAAGTAAATGTAACTTTTAAAATTCTTAAATAAAAACAGGATACTTCAATACTATTTAGAGACAACTTAAGTTTGTTCACCCAATCTCTGACACGTCAGAGGGGAAGTGTTTTGAAAGTATTTGAGGCTTCTCCCTCATAAGAAATAAGTCCATTCCCTTGAACTGGTGAACAACCTCCCATGATGTGGCCCCAAAAGATCACATTTTCTTCCTCCTGCTTTCAATGTTGACATTCCATTTCATTTTGATAATTGTCTGATAGAAGTTTTAGAGTATGACTATTTCTGTTAATTATAAAACGACAACTCTCAAAATAGTCACTATTACATATAAGACATAATGTCATATTTAAGATTTGCCTTTCGACTTTCAAACTTAAACTTAAAATATTCATTGATAAGTTTGTATAATAAAGAAAAAGGTAATTATTAAGAGGTTGGTAGTAAGCTATTACTGAATTTAAAACAAGGATTCTTGGAAGAATTCACCATTAGAATTGAACACCATTTTTCTTTTAACTTTGAAAAATTACAATATTAAGATAAATTTTCTAAAGCAGAATGCTTTAAGAATGATAGAATTTTAAGTATGCTAGAATTTCCCTCAAAAAAAAGAATTACTTTAGAAAAACTTATTTGAACTCATACTCGATCATCTTTTTCTCAGTAACTTAAAGCATAAGTAACTAAGCCATGATTGCTAATTATGTCCATTGATTATCAGGGATAGAATAACATCCCATAAATTATCTAAAGTAAGATGGAGAGATAGAGACCCCCAAAGAATAGAGCGGCTTTATACATTAAAGAAGAAAAGCTATTTTTCAAAATTAGGCCTCTACTAGGAATAGTGCTAAGTTACTTCATTGATTCTTGGTGGAAGAGATGGGTCTCCCAGGTTTTCCTGGAGACTCACCCCAAAGTAAATAAACAAGAAGCTCTTTGGGTTAGCCATCTGACCTAGAAAAGATGATGGCATTTTCTCTGAGCCTTAGGCACTCTTTGAGCTAAGTTATTCTCCAATTAGAATGTTGTTAAATACCATACCATTTGTTGTTCAACTTATTGCCTAGAACTTGCAAGAGAGTTTTTAGAAATGGAGTACAGAAGGCTAGCTTGGGAAAATCCAGAGCAGTGTTTGTGGGTTCTTTTTTTTTTTTTTTTTTTTTTTTTTTTTTTAAGGGGGTGGTGGTAGTGGAATAAAATGCTCCTTTTACTCACACCACATCTCCTTTTTTTTTTTTTTTTGTCATACTCGTGTTGCCTTTAGTGTACTCAGACATGAATGCACAGAGTCTACCCTTGCTTGTTCCTGGCACACAACAACGACGTAAACCCTTTCATTCTCATTTCCCTTGTAAAAGAAACAGCCTGACAGGTGTGATCCCCGAATCAGCACCACGGGCAGTCCTCTGCAGATTCAGCTGGTGACAAGGGTCCCCTCCCCAAACTTTAAACAAAGGCATTTAATTTGGTCTTGAGCCAAGGTAAGGAAGGAAAAAAAAGCAAAGGAAAAAGAAAACAATTGCTGGGCTAAATACAAACACAATGTGACGAGGCATAGCCCGTCAACATGAACCTTCATGCAAGCCCGGGAACGTTATGATTTTCTTCCCCCCCGGGGGCTGCGGGAGGTGACTACCGCACTCACACTGACCATCACCTTAAGGAGGTAAAGAGAGTGAAATGGCTCAACGTACACACACCCCGCTCCATACCGGGGACGAGTCTCCGAGCTGCGGCTTGTGCTGCCGGAGGGCCAGGCTGAAGCTGACCGCCCCCACGGCCACGCTGGACACCCCCAGCCCTATCTCCAGCACGGACAGCACCAGGAGGCTCCCGATGATCTGGCCGCTGGTGCACATCCTTCCTCGGTCATCGTTCCTTCCAGATCAGCGTGGGAAACTGACCATCCGCCTTCTTTCTTCCTCTCTCCTCCTCTTCCCTCCTTTCCTCCCCCCTCCCCGACCCCAAAACTTTTCCTTCTTCACCAGCCGAGCACTATCCACAGGGACTGCGTTCCCAGCACCCGAGACCCGCTTCCTTGACCGGGCCACAGGCAAAAGAACCGCTCCGCTCCGGAGCCTCCTTCAGACAGGGATGGTGGAAGCAAGGATCCGTGGTCTGACTCCAAGAGGGGAGAGGAAACAGGTCGCAGGGGTTTCCAAAAAGGAGCAGGAAACCTGGGGCAGCAGGGAGCTCCCAGTGCCGCTGGCTGGCTGGCGAGGCGCTGTCCAGAGTTCTGCCGCGTCCTGGTCTCCGCAGGGAAACCCGCTCCCTCCTGCGCCTCCTCCCAGACGCCCGGGCCCCCCTTCCCTTTCTTGCCAAGGAGATGAGCTTTGCTTCCCGGAGGTGCAGAGCCAAACTGCTCAGAGCCTCTCTCTCTCTCTCTCTCCCTTGCACGCCCGCCCTTCTCCTCGCCTTTGTTTTCGTGGCAACACCAAGCGCTCCTGCCAGTCCCCCTTCCACAAAGCAGAGTGGGCTGAGGAGATGCAGCACCGCGTGCCTGGCAGTTGCTGTGTGGCCAGAAAAAGCAACCTTGTCGGATGGCCTTTTCCAGTCTGGGTTTCTTCGCCGCCCCCCTCCTCCTTCTCCCACCCTCTTCCTTCCCCCCCCCCTCTGGATCTGCTTCTCTTTCATCATGTGGTGACCTCACTGGGATGGAAGGGGTTGATGGAGGAGGGAAATGCTTGGTCTGTTCTTGGGTCTAGAACTGATGCTCTTGGCTGGCCTTTAATTGGTCTCTCTTCGGGACCCTAAATTCAGAGACAGGAGGGATCCCCACTCGCTCCCTTCTGGGCTTCTCTCCAGATGGGAGGGGAAGGGATGCATACGTCAATGGGGCTCCTTCAGTGTAAAACACTTCTATGTGTATGTGTATGCCAGGATAGGTGGGGGTGCAGTGGCTAAAGAGAGAGCTCAGGGGCTGGAGAAAGGCCAGACCCCTAAATTCAGCAGGACTGAAGGACCCTCGCCATGGAACTCCTCTCTCTGGAAGAGCTAGACTCAAGGAGCATCCACGCCCCTGTCACCTTTCTTGTCTGCGGGTGAGGGACATGCAACTGGCCGGGGCCACACTCTGGTGGGGATGTGGCCAGCAGACCCTTGCTGTCCCTGTCCCCTGTGAGCACTGCTATAACTTCTAGGGTGCGTTCCCTGATGGAGCAGGGCTGGGACCTTGTGTGCTCACTGGAATTTGGGAGATGTGTGCATTTAAGTACTAACTATAGTGGAAAGGATGCTGTTAAAAACAAGTATCTAGCACAGTCTACAAAAAATCCTTGGGGATTTTTGTGAGGTAGTCTGATGAAAAGGGGACCCTAGAAGCCTGAACATCACTGGGTCAGGACCCTGTTTCCATGTCTCTGATTTTACCCCATGAAAATCACATGATATTTCATCAAAGAGACCCAGGACATGAAGAAATGAGAAGGTGTTTTGGGGTGTGGATCATCTTTCTCAAAAAGTGGGTGGTGCCCCAGTTGGAAATGGATTGAAGGAAATAGAGGAAAGGAGGATTGATTTGGACACATTAGCAAGACCAGGTTAACATGACCTCTGAATACATGCAGACCAGTGCAGTGCGGGCACCTTTCTCTTTAGAAGCTTCTTTTTTTTAAAGCCCCATTGAGGAGAACATGGAAGCTGAGTTATATACAATCTATAGTATAAGCAGAAGCTTCTATTTTCTTCAATTTGAATGAATTGGGGCTTCTTTCATATTTTAATTCAATTTTACACTATAATTTACTTTTCTTAATGTGATGTTTATACTTTGCATTTAAAAAAATGAGTTTTCTTCCCTTACAAAATAGAAAAGATGGGAGAATTATGTTACTAGGCCTTAAATAGTCTTCAGTTATTGTGATATTTGGAGAACAACTAATACATTGATGTTCACTAATTAGTGGATTCACTTTTTACTTCTTAACAACGAAATCCACCAAGCAGTTAATTGCTAGAATCCTTTAAGTACTTTGTGACTTCAATGAAGCACATATTATTTTATTTAAATCTTGTAGAAGTCATCTAAATGATTCAATTTATATGTGAAAATCATGAAGCATCTCACTACCTAACTTTGCTTTGTTTTAAATCATTGCTGTTCTACTTAAAATATATATAAAAATAAACATATATATATATATATGTGTGTATATATATATATATATATATATATATATATATATATTGGTTTCAAAGAGGAAGGGATAGGTAGAGAGATATAGAAACATCAATAATGAAAGAATCATTGATCCTACTGGGGACCCAGCCCACAACCTAGGCATGTGCCTTTGACCAGAATCAAACCTGGAACCCTTCAGCCCGCAGGCCGGTGCTCTGTTCATTGAGCCAAACCAGCTAGGGCTTTTTCTTCTCCCCCCTCCCCCCGTACCCCCATTAGGAAGAGAATAACAAGCTATACTTATTGTTAAAATAGAACACAGATATATAGAAAGAAATATAACATATAAAGGGAAATTAATTTTTTAGAGAACATATAATGTTAACAATTGATGAATTTCACAGAGAGAAAAAAAATGAGCAAATCATGTATTGTGGTTGAATTTTTGTCTCTGAATGTAATAGAATATATTTACTTAAATACTCCAAAGTCTAGTCATATGCCTCAATATAATCAATCTTGATTGACCCTTTTTATTGGTACAGAATGTAAACCTCTTGAAAATTGAATGTACATAAAAGAAATTAAATTCGTCTTCATGTATTACTTACTACCAATAAATGACACTAAAATGGAAATACTTGTAGGAATAAAATTAAAAAAAAAATCACCCATAGAAGAAATTACTGCTTTGTGTTTAAAAACATGAGAATCAATGTTGTTAAAACTTTCAAAAGAATATGTCATTGTTCTGGAAGACAAAGTATATTTCTTAAATGATGTAAAGATTTTCCCTCCCATAGTAAATGCAAGAGCAGCTAAACTTATCTCTTAATGAATAAAATCACAGCAAAAATAGATTCAAATTGGCATTATACATGTGTCAAAACTATCTGTTGGAGAAAGAATTATAGGATAAAATAGTAACTCAAGAAAAAACTAAATAAGTACATTTTTATCCAAATACCAGTGGCTCTACAATTAGAGGTTTTAATTTTTCTTATGCTATGGTACACTGAAAGAGCTAATCATGAGATTCATTGACACATTGTTTATTACATCTTCCACAAGAGCAATAATACAAAAAATCTCAAGTTTGCCACCTGCTGGCTTGTTTATGACACAATGAATACAAATGTGTAGACAACCTCAAAGTAATTTTTATTAAACATAGCAGTTAATCAGAATAAAATCCTTCATAATTGCTCTCTTCAAGGACCTAAATTCTGCCAATAAGTATTTAAGAATTCTGGGATCCTTCTGTACCCATTTTATCCAAATAAGATTTATAGACATTTTAACATATGAGTAAAGAAAAAATCTAAGATTTGATAAACAAATACCACCTGTCATAGTGAAGTAAATTAATGAAATAATTCAATCACTAATATAGGGTTAGTGACTGAAAATGTCAACATTTGAAACTGATTCATTTTGAAATCTGAATTAGTGTTCAAGCTATTATAAACTAAATTTGTACAGTGACCATAAGCACTGGACTGAATGGCCAAAGTAGAATTGAAGATTAAGGAAAATAAAAATCACAAAATTGTTACAAACCATTTAGCTGTTTTAGGTGCTACAAATATATTTAATATTATAATACTATTGTCACTGTGGTTAAAAATGATTGTACCCAAATGCTTAGCTATGCTTTGATAAAGTGATTCAACTAAAAAGGGGAAAAAAAGAAAACAAAATATTGAGGATTTTTTTTACTTGAAGATCAAGAAGCAGAGACAACAAAATCTGAATTTAGCTTTTTTTGTCTTATAGAAATAACATAGTTTAGAAGTTATTATCCTATATAATAAAGAGGTAATATGCAAATTGAACATCATGCCCTTGCACAAGATGGCTGCCCCCATGTGATTACAAGATGGCTGCCACAAGATGGCCAGCAGGGGAGGGCAGTTGTGGGTAATCAGGCCAGCAGGGGAAGGCAACCAGGCTGGCAGGGGAGATAGTTGGGGGAGACCGAACCAGGCCTGCAGTGGAGAGAGGGCAGTTGGAGGAGGACCAGGTTGGTAGGGAAGAGCAGTTAGGGGTGACCAGGTTGGCAGGGGAGGGAAGTTGGGAGGATCAGGCCTGCAAGGGAGGGCAGTTAGGGGTAACTGGGCCAGCAGGGGAGGGCAGTTAGGGGTGACCAGGCCTGCAGGGGAGGGAAGTTGGGAGGATCAGGCCTGCAAGGGAGGGCAGTTAGGGGCAATCTGGCTGGCAGGGAAGCAGTTAAGTGTCAATCAGGCTGGCAGGGGAGTGGTTAGGGGGTGATCAGGCTGGCAGGCAGAAGTGGTTAGGGACAATCAGACAGGCAGGCAGGCAAGCAGTTGGGAGCCAGCAGTCCTGGACTGTGAGAGGGATATCCAATTGCTGGTTAAACCGGCAGTTGGACATCTGCTGAGGGGTCCCAGATTGGAGAGGGTGCTGGCTGGATTGAGGGACAACATCCCCCTGTGCATGAATTTTGTGCATTGGGCCTTTAGGCTAATAAGAATATCAGTACTTATGAAAATAAGAGAAAGTATAATACTAAACAGAGTTAAGAGTTCTTGTTAAATACTCAGCCTTAGGTGGAGAACACAGGTAGGGCACACACAAGTAGTGGGGCTAAACCATATCTGAAGTAAAGACAACTCTGTATCTTACCTTCAAATGCTATAAAACAGATTCCTTAAGTATCAATTTTTCATTAAGTAACTTGTAAAGTCTAACAACTACATATTGAATACAAGATATAGACTTTAAATAAAAATGCAGATAGAATAAAAACAAATGGAAGGAAATAATATTTTATGCAAACAGTGGCTATGTTAATAAAGGATAAAATATACTTCAAAACAGCAAGAAATGGACATAAAAGGATAAAAGGGTTAATTCAAAAAATAGATTGTGGTAGTTAGCTTCTGACCACAACGATTCCTGCCTCCTGGTATTCAAATCCTTGTATAACATCCTCCCTTTGACTTTGGTAAAAGTGATGGATGTCACCTCTTTGATTAGGTTGACAAAAGACTGACTACCATCTTAAGCTCCTCTGTATTGTCATCTCTGATTGTGTTTTAAGAAAGCATGTTGATATGTTGTGAGGCCTACAAGACAAGGAACTGAGGGCAGCCTCACTCTAATAATCAATGAGGAATTGACACCCTCTGTCCAACAAGAGGATGAGGAACTGAATCCTGCCGATCATCACATAAGCAAATCTTTGACCAGACGTGTCTTGAGATGACTGCCAATCTAGCCAACATCTGACTGCCAGAGAAAACGCACCTAAGCTGCACTTGGGTTCTTGAACCCCAGAAACGGAGATAATAAATGTTATCTCAGGCTATTAAGTTTTGGCATGATATGTTTACAGACCAACAGATTAATTAATACAAAGATAATCATAAATGTGGAAACTCCCAACAACTATGTCAAAACATGAGGCAAAAATTAATAGACTTTAAAAAA